TCCTATTCAAACACTCCATCATATTTTCGAAGTGTATTTGATTAGCGACCTAAGGGATGAAGCTTTAAAAGAGTTAATATTGTATACCTCAGTGAAGAAAAGGGGTGTCTGAACCGTGAATGTGAGGGTGGAAATATTCCTGTCGCAACGCCGGAATATTCATAGCGCACTCTCACCCAAACCCGTGCTTCTCTGTACCTTGGCCAGAGTACCTCGTGATTTCCGACTGACAACATTGCGGAGAAACTGAGGTACGAAATGTCTTAAAAAATCCGCGCCTGTGCAACGTCTTCAACTGTGCTTAGGTAAAAGAAACAGCATATGAAGGTAGGACGGTCCAAAGAAGACCTCTTTGGTCTATCCGCGTAACGCTCGAGGCCCATGTTCGACTTACACGACTGTAACCTAGAATTTTCCTTCGGTGTCGTCGACAATGTCTTCAATGCGGCGGCGGCAGGTTGCATTTGTTCGTGAACCACTTAGGGATGGCGGTCCTACTTCAGGTAATTATAAGAGCTAGTAGTCATACAGTACAAAATCTTGCTGCATTCAATGAACTGTTGAGAAATGGTTTGCCAAAATCTCAACGCTTAAATTTTACTATTTATCGATTATTGATTAACTAACTGCTAATTAACCGATGTTGTCATGTTTGAAGTAGTTTAAATGTTAGGAAAAAAAAATAATTACTTGAGCAACGGTTGGTATGATATTTCGCGTATAGAGGTAGCGGTCCTACTTCGGGTATAACGAGGTAGTAGTCCTACTTCGGGTGTAATGGTAGCAGTCCTACTTCAGGTATAAAGGTGAACTCAGACATAGATTTCCATGCCAAGTGGAAACTCAATACGCAATAGTATTACTGGGTAGAGTAGATGCTGTACGTGCCATTCACAATAGCTCATACTCGCTATATTCTGTGGAACAAAGTCCCGATCTCCAATAATCAGCTAAGTAGCCTAGGCTTTGAATCGAGACGTGTGTACGGCCTCTCTAAGTTCTGAGACCAGATAATTAGTTGTAGTTGTATATTATACTGTTCCCGAGAAGTCATTAGCCCTTTCGGCACTTTAGAAGATCATTCTCATACTTCGACTATATTCTCCCAGCCCCAATTCCACCCCTTGTTAATAATATGCCCTTGTTGTATGTACTCACGTAAGGGAGCTATGAACCGGATAGAAGAGAGTAATAGTATCGGCCCGGAATTCAGAGTGAGAAGTGGCTACCCGAAGAGCAAATCCCTTGTTACCACAACGAACCTATTATTCTACGATGGTAGTAAGTGTGTTACAAGGAGGGATACAATTATTGATTACATTACACAGGGAATGAACTTGAGAGACTTGTGCGCGTTGTATGGACATTAAACAAGAAAAGTTCGGAGATATTCCTGACCACAATCGTCCAAATGCTTTGCACCAAGTTTGATGATTGAAGATGCCACTGTTGCATGCATGAAGTGTATATTTCAGGACACGTCAGCATAGTAAATACAATTTAAAAAATTACGTAGGAAAGGACTTCAAATTATTATACCGCGTCACGAACAAAAAAGCAATGTGTATATAGCTTGGTGATAGTCACCAACGCAGCCATAACCTTTACGGAATAACGAAATTTATAACCTATACGCAGGCTTGACCGCTTCCTTACGTTGGGGAAAGCATCATGATATTACTCGGGGAATAATATGAAGTTATACAGTCTGCATAGCTGGTGCACTCTAGGTCGCAATGATATGGTTGCTGATTGATATAAATGTACACAAAGACACAACAGGAATAGGATGTTGTTTGCATATGACATGTATACATTGTGGCATTGAAAAAAGCTCTGTGTAATTAACCTAGCACCTCTTTTTCTGACATCAAGTGTTGCGGAGTTAACTTTAAATACAACAACTCAGCGTACACCAAGAATCGATACTTCATGGTTAATGAAAACTTCTTAAATAGTACTGTAATTAAAATCTCTATTGATACGCTTACTGATGAAGTCATTCTTCTAGATCGGCCTCTACACAAATAGGTTCCTTGTTTTGACCGTTCGCTTGTTACAGCTAGCGGCCTCTTGCATTCAACATGAGCATATATTGTGACTAGGTGGTTCTGTTACATAGAGTCAAAAATTAATCTAACAATTAGACACCTTCGGGGTATCATCACGATCTACACGCTGGCGGTTAAAGAAGGGATGAGACATTTGACGAAGACGGGAACACTAAGTCTACATCTATAACGAATCATCAGGCATCAGAACCGAGCGAGAGGTCCGGCAGATGAAGAGACCCGGAGCACGAGACATAGCACGATTACGGAACTAGGTAGAGGTCTCCACTAGTAAGGTATCTAGCTTCGGCCTCGGACTAATACATGGTGTTGAATAGTAAACGGTGTTCTACAACATATATCGCGTATGACACAGTAGAAGAGGCGGAAATAGAACACACATACGCACCTTTTCACCCATTGACTGTATGCTCCACGCATACCAAGAAGAACGAGGTATAAATATAGGGACTGGGTTAGCATTCTGATATCGCAAATGAATCTTTACGACACACTATATATCATAGCTACTTGTCTACACGCTTCAGGGCTCCTTGTCTTGCCTCTAACTTACGCCAACCATTCTCTTGAAGTCATGGCCCAAACTCCATCCCTTTCCCTGGAAGGCACCACTGCTCAGCAGTTCGCTACATTCATCTTAGAACTGCGCAAAACATTTGCTCACCCTGGAAGTTTTGCTTCCCAAATCCCGGCTCTTATTATAGAAGATAGTCGTCGTCCCAACAACTGGCTTGACATCGTATTGCGCACAGGAGAACAAGCCGCGCGGCTGAAGCTCCGGCGTGATAGCCTCTACTTCGTCGGCTTCCGCGATGACGCAGAAGGTGGCACGTGGTATGAACTCAACAGTGGTTTTCAGCAAATTCCTGCCTCTACCCTAGTAGGGATCGATGGGACCTATAGCACGTTAGAGCGTGCCGCGGGCGAGAGCAGGTCAAGTATAAACCTTGGCCGGTACGTAGCCCTGAACTATCTGTTTCTGTTTTGTGGGGATTTGGTTTACATACCATGCTGTACTCTCCCCTTTGCCCCCAAGGATCATTGCTAACGTCTGGTTTCGTATAGAGCGGCGCTCATCAAATCCGTAAACCAGCTTGCCACTCTGAGAGACCCACGCAAGGCTAAAGGGGACATGGCGAATTCACTGCTTGTTGTTATCCAGATGATTTGTGAATCGATAAGATTTCAATCCATCAGTGGCTTCCTCGTTTCGAAGTGGCTTACCGATACAGCCGCGACCAGGGAACTGATTCAGCATGAAAATGCCTGGGGGACACTATCTGAGGCGCTGATACATGCGAACCAAGAGTACGCGCTGTAGATCTTTTTTTGTCTTCCCCTTCTTCGGAATCGTTTCCCTGATCTATAGTAGACCTTGTAAGACTTTCCTGTTCACGGCAAATGACTGACTACCGATTTCGAACAGTCCTGACCTAGAAGCCTTCCGGCTAAGAGTTCCCAATCTCTTCGGTATTGAGAATGCAGTAGGCGTGACCTATATATTGGGAATTTTACGACATCGTGCTCTTCCCGGACCATCGAGTAATTTACGCGCTACCACGGTTCCATGGGGAAAATACCCTCCCGGCCGCGCGTTGGTGGAAGTCATTTCGGTGGCCATTGACAAAATCAACGGGAAGAACCCAGGGCATCTATATGGAAAGATCGTGGCCGTTGATGCTCTAGGCTTTCAGGATCTCTACAATACGGACAAAAAGTCGGCCGATACGATTTATCCTGGGCAGCTTATATCCCTTCTTAACCAATCTTCAGCCGTCGTGGCAAGTGATAGTTTCACTCTCAGAATTGACCTCTGGGATAAGGACCCCGAGAACGCAGACACCAACATCCTCAAACATAACATCGTATGGGATCCCAGCAATATTACCAACACTTATGATGTTGTCACCATCGAGCCTGTGTCAGGGGATCATGGCGCTGGGATAGTGAAGTACATGGTGTTGAGCAACGCCGCAGAGGCAAAGGTTGAGATCATCCTGGACAACGGCGGCGGCAACGGCGACGAGTCCACCAACATCTACGGGGATATCACAGCTCACACCGGTGCCAACGACTTTGTTATTTTTAAGAGGGAGGCCGACGGTTCTGCCAGCGTAAAGCCTGGCACCGCGATCCCCATCAATAAATCTTCGTTCGCTGTGCCCGTGGGCAAGCCTCTTCAAATCGAATTCTCTCTATTGGACCACGATGCTAAGTCTTCCGATGAACCATTCTTGAAAGGGAAAGTTGGGTTTGATATCGACCTCAAGAAGCCGATCAGTAAGGTCACCACTAAGCGCATCCCTCTGGCCTACGGCCAGATTCTTGTGAAGGTCAAGTGGTTCTAGAAAGCCGACTGTACGATGAGGCTGTGCCTCGAGGCATGAAGCACCAATTTTGGATACTAGGGGTCGATTATTTCCAATTCAGGTAAGTTTGGAGGAACAGATAGTAGGCAAAGGGTGTTATGGGATTTTTCACGCCACCTGGGAGACTGATGAAGCTGGTGGCGGGTCGTTCTTTATATATTCTTCGATTAGGTTGCTGGCGGACTCCGCTCTTACACTCACTTCCATGCTTGGAACGAGAGGATTATGATCTTCAACAGTACCATATCCTCATTCACCACCTACCATCCCTTAAATCGAATATTTCCTTACAATTCTGCTCTATGTCTCCTTGACGTGTCTTCAGAGTAACATATAAGTGAGAAGTGCTGCTCAGACTCTTAGTGATCATACTATCACTGATTAATGCCTCGCTAGAACGTGGGGGAGTGGAGTGAGTAACAGCGCATATCTCTAAGAGGTAAGCGCCGGTCTAAATGGCGCAAAGAAATTTGTTCAGAACAGGTTATTATTAGCAAATCTTATATGAAGTTAGAACCAATGTTAGCCATCATCCGCCATGGGCGCTAGTATCTCAATCCTCCTGATAGCTCAGTTGGTAGAGCGTTGGACTGTAATTGTAAAAGATATATGCCATCCACAGGTCGTGTGTTCGACTCACACTCAGGAGACTCTTTTTTTCGTCCTGCATTTCTCTATGTCTATATTTTCTTGGTGCTTCTGAATGTGCTGGTAAATTCTCCCAAAATTCTACACATACTGAGTATATCTATGGTGATTATCTATTGATGAATTCAACCTCCTCCCCTTCTTCCCCCCACCTCCCGTTCATGCAGCCGTCTATTATAGGCGACTCCACCAGATAGGTTCTAGATTTCAAGGGGCTGAACCTCTCAGGTACCCTGTAGAATTCGCATTCACAGTGCTCTTAATTGAGCTGCGCACTCTTTTTGACCTTCATACGAAAATGCCGTACCTGTTTCCTGATTAGCACTGTGACTGCGGCCGCCATGCTAACTAGATCAGATGATCCGTAGCTGGGGAGATCGATAAGACGCTGGTTGTCGGAGCTCCGATTACTTGTCACGCAGTGGTTATCGACAGCCAGGTAGGGCATTGACGAACAGATCGCACATCTCGTAGACGATTTGGAGAACCCTGTTCTGGTATATGGCACATACTCCCACCTGGTCGATATGGAAACGGGCGAGCCCGGAGAGACCAAGCCGGGTTCGGGAGCATTGGAAAATGTTGCCATATATGCGGAAGTGTTCTGTCCGACGTGATGTACGAGAAAGAGCATGATGGAGGGAAATAAGGGCGCGAGTCGGGAGCAAATGCCAGCCGACTAAGCGCGCATACTAGTCTAGGTTGTAGCATGAATTCGGCGTCCTATGATGAACGTAAGACTCTGTCGTGGCCGAAGGCTCGTTACGGTTCGTGAGAATAAGGTACTATTGCCTTTCCGACAGCGGAGCCGACCCCGGCTATGATGCCGCGACTAACGATCGAACATCAATTAAAATCGCGGCAAGGTTTACCCCAATTCCACCATTTCATAGCTGGTGTTATATGACCTTGGCATTATTGACTATTGATACACATGATATACATGTTCACCCCGTAGCAGACGGACATATAACCATATTCAGCAATAACTACAAGCCCGCATGACCTTCGCGCGCCGATGGCTTCGTAGGCGTAGCCCGAATCAGTTCCTCGCTAGTTGACTGAGGGATCAAGCGTTCTACCGCGCGGGTCGACTCCCAGTGTACCGTTCCGTACCTATACAGCTCGCCAAACGTGCCTGGTCTATGGTCCGCGTCCTTGAAGCCGTCCTTCTTAACCAGATCCCCAAGCGCCGGCAGGCCACCTGCTGAGTTATGATAGACTTTGTACATGTGGCTCTTCTCTAGCACCTCTATAACGAACGCCTCTGCAGCCTGTCTCTTCTTCTCGTCCGGATCGTCGAGCGGCGTTGTGAAGAGTTCGGCCTGCTTGTAGCCGTCGAATTCTGTGCGGATCGCCCCAAGAATACCATTCTGTATCCCTTCCACCATAAATACGTTGTTCTCCCAGAATTCGCGCCCGTTCCAGCCCGAGCTGATGTCGAGCAAGTTCTTAGTGCGGTCGCCGAGAAGCATCTGGGCCACGTAATCGCTCATCTCGAGGACCTTCTCTTTGAAGTGCCAGTCAGACATACCCTCGGCAATCCCGATATCCTGAACCAGGGGTAATTTGTGGAAACCGGTTGCGTTGGTGTGCCCTCTCCACAGCTCCTTGTAAGAGTTATGCCAGTTCTTGACGAAGATGCAGCCCTTTCGCGCAGCTAGCATGTAGTTGCCGAAGCTACCCCATTGCTTCCTGATCTGCCCGGTTATGATCCACACGGCCATCTCGTAAGGCGAACCCGGGGTCGTCAGGGCATTCCAGAACAACTTGTCAAGATGGGTGTGCAGCATATTTCCGACGTCCATCCAGACACCCCCATGCTCGTACAACAGCGGTAGCCGCACAAGGTCGGCAGAATGTTGCGCCGCATGCCTACCGTCCATCGTCCGGTTTACGAAGCAATCGGGGAACCAGTCCTTGCTCAGATAATTGTAAACATTGTTGGGAGAGTTGTCAACAAGATCGACGATGCGGACCGTCCAGGAACTACCGAGCTTTCTGACCCAGTTGATTACGGTGCATCGGTAACTCGGGTACATGCGATCCAAGCCCTTGTCCCAGAAACACCATACGTTCTTCTCTGACGTGATGGGTCGAAAGGAGCCGAGATCTCTCACAATCTCATCTTCGGGACGCAAGTCTAATTGAGACTCGGGCACCACCCGGAGGCCGGTCGCCGACTGGGGCAATGTAAACTTGACCATTTGGGCTTGAGAAGTCGTGTTAAGGCTGTCTGAGAGTATTGTGAGTATTGTGAACTGTGAGAAGTATCTTGAGGTCTTCGTAAGGTGGTTATCGCTTGATTGCCTCAAGATGGTCTCGGGGCTCTTGTTGTGATTCTCTATACTTCATATATCCTCAAGTATACTCAGCAAACTAGACACCCCAGGACATTGATGATTTCACTGGTCTAGAAGTGGTAACCCTTAGACATGATTCATAGTGATGGCTTTATAATGTTTCTTGCTAAGCCTCCTCACGCCGGAGAGCCCGCCCTGTAAAGGCAGGACAGGGACTCGAGGAAGAATCATTATCTAAATTGGTAGATATGACTTCTCGGAGTGTACTTCGCCATTTTCAACGAGAGACAGCATGTTCGACAGCGCTGCAGAAGGATTAGCTGAGGCTTTCATAGATACCAGACTAACCGTTTCGGGCAGTATTCTCCCCCGGCAGCATATTTCCTCTAGTCCAAAATAGTCAGTAAAAGTATGATTCATAGTGACGAGGCGCGCCATCATATCATCTTACTACTGTGCAGGCTGACTAAAACTGCTTAACAATTTCCATCTTCAACCGTCAAGTGAAGAAACTCATTATGTCTCACAGTGAAGAGGATGATAGCGGAAGAACTCAGGGACATACTGCTTAGTGTTGGGAAAGCTTGGTCGCCAATATGTCGTCTCACTGCATCAGCCCCCTATCAACACATTACGCAGTATGCCGCCCTATGGCTAGGATGTGTCCCTGTGTAGGGTGCCGAATGAGAGCTTCACTCTCATACCTCCTCTCTTCGTCAGGATGTAAAAACTACTTAAGAAGCCGTGATGCGCCCGGCAGAAGTCTCATTTCGATCAGCATCACCCCAACAATCTGTGCGTCTTACTAGAACACCAACAAGTCACCATGATCGGCCTCAAAGACAAGCCTCAGTACGTCGACATCGACCCCAACTTCAAACCAATGCCAAAGTATGGCCATCTCTCCGAGAAGACGCCCGAGTTCCTGGAAGTAGAGGATGCCATTAGCGCTGCATATGAGCAGCTCTGGGCATTGGATGATATGCCCAGCTTCCGCGAGGCTGCCGGCGACGCAGATGCTCCTATGCCTCCCGGGGGACCCGATCGATACTGCGAAGTGAAGACCGAACTCTTATATTTCCCAGCCCGTGACGGCCACTTGATCGAGCTAAAGGTTTATCAGTCTCCAAATGTCGCGGCAGACGCAACCCTTGTATATCGCATGCACGGTGGCGGTATGAGATATTAGCTATCGGCCCTCTTCACATTGGACATCGTCATACTAACTTTTTCTACCTAGGCTTCTGCGTTGGACGACATGAGGTAGACGGTGCCGAGAATGTTTATGCGGCTACAAACCCCAACATTGTCGTTGTAAGCGTAGATTACAGATTGTACGCGTGCTCTTACTTTTCCATTAACGGGGTAGCTCTTGAAATTCCGCTGACATTGCAAAGGGCACCCGAGAACCCCTTCCCAACACCGGTCGAAGATAGCTATGATGGCTTATTATGGGTATGCTTCTATTTGTCGTCGCTCATAATGCTGTGTCTACTGACTCTTGACTCCTAGTGTAAGGAGAACGCGAAAAGTCTCGGGATTGACCCCGAGAAGATCATTGTTGCTGGGAGCAGCGCTGGTGCCAATCTGGTGTGTTCGAGCACCCTAGTTTACAAGCCTGTTCTCGTTATCTGCCCACTAATACCCCTGCTAGGCCGCATCTCTGTGCATTATTGCTAGAGACGATGGGGTTTCTGGCATCATTGGCCAGGTGCTGCACTTCCCATCACTCTGCCACCCCAAATTCCTCCCATACGACAAGTACGAGTTTGGTAGTTACATTCAGAATGTGGAGAACTGCGTCCTCAGTCTCTGCAAGTTCGAGGTTTTCATCAATGCTTATATACCCAACCCCACGCCTGACTACAAGCACTCCCCTCTGCTTACCCCCTCATTGGTAGGACTCCCGCCAGCACGTAAGTGAATCTTAATCTACTCTCGACTCTATGCCCAGTACAATTTTCCCTGTTTTTCAAGAAAGCGGAGCTAACAAGTAGCCATATAGTGATACAATCCGCGGGCGTTGATATCTTTCGCGACAGCGGTTTTGCTTATGCCGACGGCCTCAAAGCCGCCGGCGTAGATGTCGAGATGCATTGTTACGGAGGTGTACCGCACTGTTTTCCCGCCGTTATTAAACCCCATCCTTTTACACCGGTATTCTATGAGCGATATAATGCATTCTTGAAGAAACATGCAACTAGTTCGAATCTATGAGGATAAACTAGTATACCGCGTCAGTGTAATACTTGAGAAACATAATACGTGCCCCTTTTCTGTATTTTAGCTTTCAACAATTGGCTCATAGGGATACGAATACTCTGAATTAATAGCCTTCCCCGATTGCCACTCTTCATGCAGCCCGTCCCAGTCTCTCGTTGCACCCATCCAGACACAATTGCGCAACGCTATTTCAGCAACTTTCCCCCCGAACAATAGAAAACGTGATATACCCAAGTTTAGACGATACATCTGTTGATGAAGGGGATGTCCAACATACCTACCGAGCAATGCAGAGCAAGATCTTTTCAAGATATGAAAAGTACACAATAATTCAAACAACCTTACGACAAAGGCTAGTCGCGTAACTGAGTTCCTGTCCCAATTGTGACCCCAAATTTCATTCCTATTGGCAGGGAATTTTCCTTCCTTCCTTCCTTCCGTACCGTTCATTAATTCAAGCCAGAATTTCTCTAACT